TTCTGTTCTTGAGGGGTCTGTGACAGTGTCAGTTAACATTCTGTCAATGCCCATGTCATTCCACACATGCAATAAGATATCTGAATTAGTTACTAATGTAAAAACATGTCTCAAAGTAGATTTTTTATAAAAAGGACAGCTGATGTTAACATGTGTTCTACCGATAGTTTTGCGTTCTTTAACATGTTTGGGGAGGGATGGCCGTGGTGTATCATTTATTCTTTCATTCATTCACATATGTTCTTTTTCTTTTGTTCTTTTTCTTAATTTCTTTCATTCATTCACATAAAATTCTTGCTCTTAATTCATTCATTCATTCATTGTAAAATTCCGACCTATACAATACACTGGCTGAAGTACTGTTAAACGCAGCCGAAGTTGCGCTGGGACCGAACCAAGTCACTGTGTGCGTTGGAGCATGACGAGGCACACGTTAATTAGTACAAATGGTAAAGAAAGCAAGCGAGTGACCTATCCCTGTTGTAGAGTATCCCTGGCCAGACACGGCACCTTAAATTGACATATTTGCTTCAATACGTCAAAATCGAGATTTTGATTTTTTTCGTATAATTAACACATGTACTTCACGATACAACACGTTGTTTTCGATAAAGAGTCTTTTTTATTGATATAAACCCCTACAAACATAATCGTATATGTGATAATATTTAAAAATGTGTGAAATCAAACCCTGAAAACGCCGAACTTTCTCCCCTAACAACGCCCTCCCTGCAGGGACGAACCCATTCATGTTATACATCGCTAGAAAGCTCATCGTGTCCGCCATGTTGCTGGTCAAAAACATTCTAAAAATAGATATTCCACGTGAGGATATCTCTACTTTCCCGCGATAGGTATTCTGTACGAAAACATCCTTGTAAGGCGAAATATCCCACAATGCAGCATTCGGCAAGGCGAAATATCCCACAATGCAACATTCGGTAATCTTCGTTACATCCTTATATGGTAAACGTATCCCACAATGCACCATTCGGCATATCAACAAAACATCGTCCTTTCCCGGTAAGCATTCAAAATGGCGGCTGCTTCGCGAAAACATCGACCGATAAACATCGTATTTGATGTATTCTTGACTAACAGTTGTTGTATTCTATAAAAATGAGAAGAACAAAGTCAAAGCACGCCTACATTAAGAATAAGAGGCGCAGTTGCGACAGGCATGCTTAAAATGCAGTGTCAAAGATCCGACAAGTTTTGACAGCGCGATCAAGCATGTACAATGTATTTAGATTCTGACAGCTTCTACATTTTCGATGCATCGGAAACATCTTGGGACCACGCCTTTGAGGAAAACATTCCCAATGGAGTCAATGAAGGTAAGAAATAGTTTTTATTGAATGGAGATTCACGCATAGAACTTTCAAAAAATTTTGTTGTTGAAAACCTCCGATCTCATTTCCTTGTCAATGACAAACCTACACCTCAATGGATGCGAAGGGATAGAGTTTGTGTTGAAGCAACTGACCACTGAGTGGTTGTTGTATGGTGTAGGGGAGTTTTATGTCTTTTTTCTTTGTATATGAATTGCTTCATGTATTTGGAATACATCCCTTCAGTAAACTGAGACTTTGAATGTGTTTATCTCGTGCTAAAGTAGGAAAAAACATGACCAAATTTATTTCCTTATTTTCTCCATATACGTCATTTTCGATCTTAGTGAACATAGTTCTCAGTTGTTGCTGGCCCGATTTCAATGAAATTTTGTGTACATATAGCCAATTGATTACTTTATGCAATAACAGAGAGACTTTTTCAAATTTGTTGCCTGTTTTCTTTTTAAAAAATAAAATATGAGTGAAAATCAACCCCCCAAAAGTGATGTTTTTCAAACAATTTTTTAAATAAAATAACAGTCTTTTTTAAAAATATCTCTCTGTCATTGCACCCTACACACCCCAAGGTATGTTGTAAAGTTGAAATTATATAGATATCTTTATTAGTTTTAGAGAAAAACTTTCACTAAATTTCATCTTTTTTCAGGCTTGCAGCGTCCATCTTGGACGTTTCCATGGCAACCGGTAGCAACATCACCTGGAAAAGACTCTTTATCGATTGTTAACATGTATACCTCTAAGTTGAAACTAAATAAACGTAACAAATACTTGTTAAGCATTTTGTCATATGTGAGGTGCAGTGTCTGGCCTTAATGGTATCAGATTTGCGTTTGTCTATCAGTGACGTTTGGTTGTTATGAACACTCAGTCTGGATTTCACTGTTGGTAGTTGTGTTCTTGTCCTTCTTCCAAACAATCTCCCACTTGGGCCTGTGTCCCTTCTGTCGGGGTAGTTTTCAGGCTGAGACGTCCTATATATGTGTCTGCATTACTTGCTTTACATTTCCACATGAGATTTGTGGCTGTTTTTACAGCTGCTTCAGCTGCTCCATAAGACTGACTGTTTCCAGAACTTGACATGTCATGTATAAATCCATAGTTATCTGAAAATTACTTGAATTTTCCTGATGAGAACTGAGGACCTCCACCCGAAATGACTTTATCTGAGATTCCGTGTCTTGAAAGGTGATGCTTCAGTTTGGTGATGACTGACTGAGATGATGTGTTAGTCAACTTCAAAGAATTTGCTGTAACAGTCAATTGTCACCATATAGTTGCGACCTTGTAGAGAGAATAGATCACAGCCCACAGTTTCCCAGGGTCTTTCAGGTGTTTTTCTATGGTGCAGAGATTCTTGCGGTTGTCGTGTTCTGTACTCTGCACAAACATCACATAATTCTATGGAGTGTATAATGTCTTGTGACATTTTGGGCAAGAATAGTGACCTGGCTCTCAGTAGTCAAGAGCTGATTCCAAGATGACAAGCGTTTACGTTTTCCTTCATTTCTTTCCGCAGTGAACCAGGAATAATAAACCGACAGTGACGTCACTCTATTGTTCTTACTATTGTTCACTCTATTACACTTTTTCTCGTAATATCCCTCAAATCTGATACAATCTCGCTTCCTCGGGCAATTATCTAAATAATGTCCCTCCGTCCCGGGCAATTATCTTAATAACGTCCCTGTGCCCCGGGCATTATCTTAATAACGTCCCTCTGCCCCCGGATTTTCTGAGGGATATCCCTTGACTTTGAATTATTACTTGTTTTGAAGATTGATACAACTTTGTCTTGCTATCACCGAATGCGATCTTAAAATATGGCATTATTGACAATTTCCACCATGTAGTGCCGACACCCGGTTTCGAACCCGTAACCCTTCGCTTACTAGCTTTGCGGTTTTATCCATTAGGCTCGCTGTGAAGAATGAGATTGTTTGCCGGTATGAACCGTGTGTTCCTCCCAAGACGGGTAGTGCGGGCAGCGCACGTGCATTGCGAGGAGTCGGCTGCCGGTCTCATCCCAGTTGATTTCAACAGTAAATACCAAATATTGAAATTATATCTAAAGTATACTAGGCACATAAAGAAACTGTGCATACAAAAATTTAAAATCTAAATTTATCAAACCTGGGTAGACACATAAGGATTTAAACTCAGAGATTAGTGACATGTATCCAACATGCATGCACGTGCCACGTTCCGTGACGTCAGTGGGTTCGTCCTTGAGACGTGCAATACGTTGTTGCACGTGTATTCCGGGAAAGAGAAGCAGAGCAAATGAATGCCACACAATACTGTGACTTTGGAAAGCTCAACCCCTGCCCTTGCGATCGTTCAAAAAATTAAACAGCTATTGAAACGCATAGCATGCCAAGGCTCACGTCTGCACAACTTCATGAGGCCATTGGGATGGTCCGTGGGGGAATGTCTCAACGACAAGTGGCTGCACATTTCCACTGCCACCTGAACACCATTTCTGCACTGGTGAGACACTACCAGAACACAAATGACGTCATCGATCGGCCACGTTCTAGACGTCTACGTGTAACAACGCCAAGACAGGACAGATCGATAAGGGTGACCCATCTTCGCCACAGGTTTCAGACTGCAGTGATGACTGCCCGAACCATCCCAGGACTTCGCCGTATCCACCCCAACACAGTTCGACAACGTTTACGTCATCATGGGATCAGACCACGACGTCCCGCCATACGGCCTATCACAACGTCATCGACAAGCTCGCCGAATGTGGTGCCGAAATCATGTCCGCAGACCCTTGGTTTGGTGGAGAAATGTTGTTTTTACAGATGAGTCCAGGTTTAACATTTCCTATAGTGATGGACGTCAACGTGCCTATAGACGGTGGGAGAACGTTATGCACGGGCCTGTGTCTTGGAGAGGAATCGCTTTGGTGGTGGTTCCGTGATGATTTGGGGTGGAATAACAGCACACCAAAGAACTCCTTTGGTGATTGTTCAGGGCAACATAACTGGTGTGGGCTACAGGGATCAGATTCTTCGACCTGTGGCAATTCCTTTTCTGCAACGTCATGGCCCTGGGTTAATGCCCTCATACGGCAAGGGTTGCGACGGATTTCTTGCAACACCACAAAGTTGACTTACTGCCTTGGCCTGCAAGTTCAACGGGTCTCTCCCCGATAGAGCATGTTTGGGACAAGATGGATCGCCTTCCTCGTCCGCCAGATAACGTCCTTGACCTTGCAACAGAACTTGAAAGAATCTGGCGTGACATCCCACAAGCCTTCCTTGCACGTTTGATAGGCTCTATGCGTCGTCAATGCACTGCTGTTCTCAATGCCGATGGTGGACATACCCGTTATTGAGCTTGTGACATGGTCGTTTGACCCCTGTCACGCTTGTGGACTCGTGACGCCATTGTGACTGACTTTTCAATTGAATTCTCCCGACTTGTTATGGTCTCATGATCCCTCCATTAAACTTTATATGTACTTTTGACATTGTTATCGTACTTATCAACTGGGATAATATTTTGACAATGCACAGTTTCTTCATGTGGCTAGTATATGTTGCCAAAATGTCAACTGAATATAAATATAGATGATATGTTGCCAAATGGTGTGTTGATTATTATTTTCAGAAACATACTAAAACCTATTGGTACCTTTAGACTTGAAATATATCTGTTGATGAACGGTATATCCACCCTTAGATTTGAGAACCTTCTCACAAATACAACATCTGAATCCTGAAAGGGTAATGGAAGAAATAACAGTTTAGGCTGCACAGTTGGATTTCCCTCCATGCATAAGTGGTTTTGTTTTCTTTGGGGTTTCTTTTGGTAGGTAGTGCCATCTCAATAAAATAGATGCATGTTTTGGTGATCTGTCATATAAACAATCTTTGATTCAAAATTATGGCACATTATGTTTAACCACACGTAGCTACATGGCTGAACATGTGAAAAATTACGCATATCAATCGATCACTGCCATCATTCAAATTGACTTTTAGTCATATAACTAGATTTATTACCTGATGACATACATTACAATGTTGAGCTACATGATTCCTCCTGGTAATCTCACATATTACATGAACTATCTTGGATTTAAAAATTTTTTCCCAACAACATTATTACCTGTTTCTTCGTTTACTATTTCATCTTCTGGGAGTGCATCCACTGCAATTGTCTCTTCAAATCCTGCTGACTTAGCTGTCAATTCAAAAATATGGCACATTATCTTTAACCACACGTAGCTACATGGCTGAACATGTGAAAAATTACTCATGTCAATCGATCACTGCCATCATTCAAATTGACTTTTAGTCATATAATTAGATATATTTTACTATACTGAGAATTGCATCTTTTGGAAGGAGAATTATTTATTCATTGTCGGCAGTAGGGAACTGCATTCAGAATCTGAAAAGATAAAAAGTCTCAATCAATAACACTACAAAATATTACAAAGAGTGTGATGTACCATATTCCTGTTTTTTTTGATGACGCAAAACATCAATACTGAACCCTAAAATCAAAATGTGTTAATCTTTTATAAATGTACTATCTCTTGTTAAAAGAAAAGCTCATACGATCATAGATAGGCTCAGATTTTAAGACTGACTGACTGAGTTTAGTTTTACGCCGCTTTTAGCAATATTCCCGCAATATCACGGCGGGGGACACCAGAAATGGGCTTAACACATTGTGCCCATGTGGGGAATCGAACCCGAGCCTTCGGCGTGACGAGCCTCAGATTTTAAGAAGTGATAATCAATATATGATTGACTAAAACTACTGATATGTTAAATGTTAATCATGTTATCACAGTAATAATAAGTAGATTACTTGCCGCCTACTGATCCAGTGATGAACTCTGAAGATTAAGCAGGATAAGAATCTGAAAGAAAACAACCTGCATTAAAGATCACATATACTCTAGGGGGGTACAAATACATAAATCACTAACTGGCATCGCTATAAATGAAACAGTGTCATTAAAACTACTCAATTTGTTCTTTAATTAACTTAAATCGACCTTTTTGACAACACTGCACAATTCTCACCGTCGAACGAAATTTCAACCAATCAGAGCGAGGCATCTCTGTGACGTCATATGAGGAATAGATATGAGGGCCGATGCAGAATTCATCTACATCTCAGGGGGTAAATTATCTTGTTTACAGGTTTGTATAAACCTGAAATCGTGACAACTGTTGTGGAAAATGAAAGCTATATGTTCTCACAATCTACTGTCATTTAATTTTGTCTCCTGCTTTGCCTAGTTTCTGAGTTACAACTTGTTTTCATAGAGGCTTCTGTCAAAATCGCTTGGTGTCGCTAGGCCTTATTTGTATAATGACTGATCCAAATTGATCCTATTTCTGTGTTTTTTTACCTCGATATTTAATCATGTCATGTAAAAATCTGTTTGTATTCTCAAAACAGTGTCGGTCCATAAGTTTTCACATGCAATACAGCAATTAATACTCCCTTGTTGTAACCCGTGTTAGGTGGTATAAACCTACACGTTATTTGTCATCATTCACTTGATGGTCAGTTAATGAAAATATAACAGGTATAATAATTGGTAACACACTTAGATCACCCGACAAAGGTTCCCATTTGGCATTTCTTGTGTCTGGAGTAAATATTCAACATTATAAACATCGATAAAAGGATTAACCGATAACACGCTGATTGATTAATTACTTTTATCTTACACAGCAGATTTGTCAAAAGGTAGTGTTTATGTATGTAGATTTACTAATCTATACTGAATACACTCTGTCGTGTCGGTGTCTCTGCGTAAAAACAACGTCCTTCTTTCAAAGGATTAACCGGCAATACATTGATTGATTGCCCATTATTGGCTAACTAAATTACTGTTTTAAAGAAAGGCGGACATTATGCAATTAGTTGCCAGGTGTGCTATCTTGGGTGACCAATGAGACTATACACCAATAAATACCTGAAAAGATTTATCACTTTTAGTATATTAAACTGTTAAAAGACACATCATTTGGCATATCAGTTTTGTGGATATTGATGGATACATTCCTCAAACAAGGTAATGGCCTGATATTGTTCCTATAACTTTAATCTGTTTTAATTTTAATATTTGCAATTTGTTTTATTCATTTGTCGTAGCATTCAACAGAATCATTGTTTTCGCCCGTGAAGTGTAATGAGACAGACAACATACACTAGGGTGTGTGCGAATTATGATTCACATTGGCAAACTATAAAATGTCTAGATATTACAGTTCTGTTATAAATTCACTATAAGTATCAGCAGATCGTCTGCTTTTAGTTAGTTTCAAAATGCATACAAGTATGATAATAAACTAATTAGGATTATAAGACCAAATATAAAGACGTGCATTGACTAGTATCTACATACTGGTGAGTGGACATTAACCATGTGAATGTAGCAAGAAATTTATCGCGCGAGCATTGTGACTTCAACCCCACCTCGCCTCGTGGAAGAAATCGTTATGTTATAAGTTGTGTCATGCAAAATCCTTTTGGTTATGATTCAAATACATATTTAACTACGAGTAGAAAGTAGTTTTGATTTTCTAACTTGATGATAACAAACCATAATCTCATTAATTCTAACAGACTTTAGCCCGTCAATTTACGATTTTCAAAAATGGTGGCGCCCTGTCGGGAACATCCGCCAGTCTGAGGATAAATGATATTCAGGTTTGTTTTCACCGAGTTACAAAATCAAAACTACTTTCTACTGGTAGTAAAATATGTATTTGATTGATGGCCAATAGGACTTTGCATGACATAGCTTATAACATAACATTTTTTCTCATGGCACCGAGGTGGGTGTCAATGTAATACTACTTACAATATTATTGTTACTTCGACCACAACCTCGCTTCCGAGGAAGAAATCGTTATGTTACAAGTTGTGTCATGGAAAATATTTATGGTCATCAATCATATACAATGTACATATTTTACTACAACTGGTAAGTAGTTTTGATTCTTTAACACAAGTAAGATATCGTTTCAGGCTTCCACAACGCTCGCCTCGCACTCACAAACATAACCCATTTAGCACGAACTGCGGGGTCCTGTGGAAATCTGTGCATGGTGACACCATCGCCCGACCCCTAGGAGCAATTAACGACAAAGCAACGATTCGGCATGTCGTCGTTGATGTCGAGAAATCATCAAAATGATGAGCGTGCAACACACTTTCTATACAACTAACTGAAAATCGTTCCTCATATGACGTCACTGCAGTGCTCTGGTGACAGAGTTACGTAACCTGTCTGTGGTTTCGTTGGCGGGCGAGAGTGACTGACTGACTGAGTATGGTTTTACGCCAGTTTTAGCAATATTCCAGCAATATCACGGCGTGGGACACCAGAAATGGGCTTAGCACATTGTGCCCATGTGGGGAATCGAACCCGGTCTCCGCTACAAGGCGAACCAGCAGCGCTTAACCACTACCCACCACCCCTCGGGCGAGAGTGAAGCAGGCGACTTTTTGGCAACTTTTAATCGCTCGGTATTAATTAACCACAAGTTTTTTAAGAATGAATTTGGTGTTCCGCATATGTCTAACCACAAATCTTTCATATGTAATAGTTAAAAGAGTACCAAAAAACAAAGTTTATTTGTTCCTTAAAACACTAATAGACAATATCAAGGTAAAACCGAACTAATGTTTTGTCAAATATAGTATCATAGATCATCTTGTATTTCAGAAGACATAAAACAAAAAATTGTGCAGGTAAATAAAGAAAAATAACCATCTCTCCCTCAAAACGAAGATGAATTGTAATCTGAAATGTTGGACTTGTTTATTCTATTGTGGAAACTGTGTGAGAGTGAATTAAGCTTTTAGCAACTGGCAACATGTTTTGGAGTTTACAGTGTAAATTCTGAATTGTGTCACTTTCTATAACAGAAATACATCAAGGTTTTATCAACCTTTAGCCCCAAACAGGCTCCATTAACTTTTTGTCTGGTTCCTATGCTATATAAATAAGTAAATATTAAGGCCCCAAGTCTCTCCTTGGCATAAGACAATGAGAGCTGTTTTCTGAGAGTACTTGTTTTCCTAAGACAGTACGTATTACAAATCTAACAACCTAGCACATGAAAACTACACACCACAAACTTTCTCTACAGTCTTAATAGTATAACAAGGATGAAGACCAAAGAAATATGAAATTTGGATAGACAAATTGGCGGAGCATATTCAGTTTCACTAGTCTAGTTATTTCAAAGCAAATGGCCCCAGCAGATGAGGTGTCCTTGTGGTGAAAGGTGAGAGATAATCACACCTACGACCCAGATTCAACTCCTCAGATATTGCTGAAATATTACAAAAAAACATACGCAATCACTCTTTATTCATCTGAGCTGCTTTAACACAGCTTTCAATAATATGCATTTAATGGGAAAGAAAGCCATGACCTTTACCTTTGGAAGTCTCATCTTGTTGGTATGCTGGATCGTCCACATCAGACAAATCGAATGGATTGTCATCTGTATCTGCAGTGAATGAGCACTATATGAATATCAAAGGTTATAAAATGTATATTACTCACCTGATAACTCAGTGAGGAATAGTTCAAATTTACTCCATTTTGATGATGACTTGTACATGTTGAGTTCCATTACTTTAATTATGCATGAAACAAATGTCGCTATACTTTGAACCAGTATGACAGAGTATCCGACAAGAAGAAGTTATTAAACCTCTTGTAAATTATGGTGCATCATTGGTGGGAACATGTACATGAAGATTTTGCTTCATTGGTCTAGCAGTTTCTGAGGAGATTATGTCCGAAGCAATGTAAATAAAATTTGAGCATGATCAAAAAGCAATACTTACCCCATTGCCAGAACACAACCCCAAAATGGAGCATAATGTAATGAACATCACTACACATTACTCACATTCCAAATGGCAAAACCTTTGTAAAAAGGGCTGAGTAAAGCCAATAGGAACTTCCAACTTGTTTTACATATCACAAAAACTGGGACATGTATTTTTCAAAATATTTCCGCAGTAATCAAACTTCAAAACATTTTCATCCAATTCTGATTTTTATGTACCTGAAGGTAATGACAGACAGATGATGAGTATGGGTGAATTGATATCAAATAACAGTAGTTCTCTGATTATAACTGTACTGAATACAAAATTACATGCAGCATGTGTGCCTGAATATGCTTTTAAAGTGTGAGGAACAATATACTTATGTGGCAAAATTTGCTCTGATCAAGGTAAAATGTATTCTGCCAGAACATTTTTTTGTTATCACACAGTATAATTAAAACCTGCAAGCAGAGTGCAAAGTATACAAATATGCAGTAAAATATAGATGAAGTTTATAATGACAGTTGAAAGTAAGATTTCTCCAAATGCAATCAATACTGCTGGGGACAATAACACAATGCATGGATCAATATGTGCATAATTACCATCAATTCACATTTTTCAAGATATGCACAAGGTTTAACGTTGGCACTGATGGCAATGCAACTACTGATTTTGATCATATTCAACACAAAGTAGTAGTGCATAAAGTAGACAATAAAACAAATGTTCGAAATGACATTGCGGACAGCAGTCTTTCAGAATATATTAATTTGCAGACACTTCCTTTCAATTATCATTCATATAAATATGTACAGACTGTCACTTGGAAGACAAAACATAACATGGTATATATGGCTGCAACTAATGTTTTGTACACCATGAACAATCTCATTACGGCAAATTTCATTAGATGATGGTGTGATAATGTAATGATAGCTGTGTGCATACTATTGCTTTAATAAGGACCATCCTGGACTAGTTTTACTTAAATGGACATTGCTGATTTCACAGTAACTGTCATAATTTTGAAAAACTTCTTTCTCATTGCCAACTTAACTAACAAGGTTAATGCACCTGGTATACACCTGTTTTAGCTATGAGTTATTTCAATAATTGCTTAATGAAGTGCAATTTATCAATCACTATTTAAGTAAAGGTGTCTCAGTAGCATCAACATTACATGATATACGTTTAACGTCAGTTGCTCATAGAAAACATACAACATTTATAATAATTCACTCTAAAAAAGTGACAATAAATCACAAAAGAAATTTACATGGAGTTCATAAGACGATGTATTTGCCTTTGACCGGAATCGAACCGATGTCTAAAGATATATGTTTCAGACTACCATTCAAAAGCTTCATTACATCTCAATTCAATATTAGAAATAGATGCTTTGTTATTAAGAACATCAAAGTATGAACCCATCATACTTGTGATGAAATAATATGTGTGAACCTTTCACACTTGTACATGAGCTAAAAATTGTGTGAACCTTTCACACTTGTGCATGAACTAAAAATTGTGTGAACCTTTCACACTTGTGCATGAACTAAAAATTGTGTGAACCTTTCACACTTGTGCATGAACTAAAAATTGTGTGAACCTTTCACACGTGTATGAACTAAAATTGTGTGAACCTTTCACACGTGTGTATGAACTAAAAACTGTGTGAACCTTTCACACGTGTGTATGAACTAAAATCTGTGTGAACCCTTCACATGTGTGTATGAACTAAAATTGTGTGAACCCATCACACTTGCTAAAAGAATAAATGTATGCAAAGATAAAACAACACTCACTGTAAACTATACTGAATCCAATCAGTCTTGCTTCAGCCAATCAGAGCACCAGCAATGTTTTAATATGTTTCACAAATATTTAAGTATCTACCTCAACCTTGGTTTAATCGGGACATGTACAGTGAAACTGTGAATCGTAACGAGCACTTACCTGTTTTCGCCAGTTCACAGTATTATCACCATAATCGTACTTTAATTCTTCTCCAACTTGAACGTCTCTGGTCGCAAACAAGCAGAGGTGTGGTTGTGCTTCATGCTGTATTAGTTTCATGACACAGTTTTCATGTCTTGAATCAACGTCATTCACCATCCTTCCCAGGGAGGCATAGGCCTCTGTTGCATCTATACTGAAATTGTTGACGTTGGAGGTACAGGGTCAGCAACTTTATTCCATCATATACTGATACTTACTTCAAGGATACGGCACTATTTGAACTTCAAATGCTAGTGATTATTTTATATATTATATTTACTTTTAAGGGCTGAAGTTAACTCTCCACTGATAAATTATAAGCAAGTAATTTCAAAAGAGAAGATTTTCAATGAATATAAACATACTCAACTTTGAAAAATAAATGTTTACAATAGTGACACCCACTTTAAATTTCTGCTGAAAACATGAAGAATATTCTGAAATGCTGAAAAACTACAAAAACAAAACATAAAAACAAACAAAACAAGTACCAACCAAACCTTCCTGTCGTTCATCCCCCTACCACTTCTGGCAAATTTCCGAATTTATAACTCATAAAAATTTGATTATGCTACCCTAAAGCTATTCATCAAATTCAACTGAAGCTTGGTCCCGTGTTACACACAAGGTACACTTGCGAGTGGTTCATTGCACACAATCTCAACGTGTGTAAAGGAAATGAACTATTAGGCAGTATTGTATATCAATGAACCAGCTTGTCTCAACATCATGTACCTCTGCCGAAAGTGAATTAAAATCTTGCATGGGTGGAAAGATACATAGGTAAAACAAAAATATATGGAACTTGTTGACATGGTAACTCAAAAGACTAATATTTATAAAGTTTCAAATTGGCAAAAACCTCAAGTTCACCACTATGCCTATGTGCCAGGTTTGGTGAAGAAATAGAGTAGTTCTCAGGAATCTGCTCAAGAAATGACATATTGCACTAAGTAGGGCATGTCAATTTTTATAGCCTTCCACATATTTTCCAGTTTACAAATATATTTTCCTAAAACGTACCATTTTTTTCTTTCCTTGGAAATAGAAATAGAACATGTAGCATCCCTCTTTGGCTTTAGAATGTTTTCTTTCTAATTCCTTGGCTCTTTCTTCGTCAATTAAACTTCCTCGGTATTCCAAAAGGAAATCCCCTCTTGCAAATGTCTGTGTTGCAAAAACACCAAAGCCTGAAGTGCATAAATGCAATATATAATATCAAGACAGGTTGTTCAGTGATAGAAAATAAAAGGAATTTGCAAGTTTAAACAATTCTCAAACTTCTATCACAAAGTTTTTGGATCAACAAATAAGTCAGTGGATATTTTTATAATACTGAAGTCAAACCCAAGTTTTTGAGTATCTAGTATCATGAAAACAATGAAGCTGATATAGAAACATGAATGTTACTGTCATCATTCCCATTATATGAACATAGTATATGAAAAAGATATATTGAAAACAGAAGTAGTTCTGCATATTGTTTCCCTCATATAACTGGATACAGAGCCCCTTTAATAGGCAGTACCAACATAACAGCTGCAAGAACAGATGAACAGATGACTTAATTATTCACAAAACTGATGTGTTTTGTGCTTCGGCTTGTATTTGAAAGACACGTTCATGCAAATACTTGCCTACAAAATCAGACACAAATTTCAACTGAAATCCTTCCTTATCAAGTCCGACAGACATCCACCATTTGGCATCCTCCTTTGGAGTGACTCTTCTACAATTAACAAATACGTAATTAAGAAATTAATTGATTACTTACTACAATGTATTGATGCCATTTTACTAAGGACAACCCAGTTTCAGCTGCAAAGTAGTTTGATTCTAAGTAAACTTTAAACAGATAATAGATTGTTTGAGATTCTGTACACACCCCTACGTGAGAATTCCGCAACACATGCGGTAATCCGCAGTTTTTCCACAGAAATTACCGCATGCAAATGCCGCAACTTTGCCACACATGCGGAGTATTGGGACGCGGCATTTATGTGGAATTTTAGCGGCATGAAAACAGAAACAAATTAACATGAGGCCCTTAGACTATTAGTAAGGTTGAGACAAAATGACAAAGTAATACCTTTTTTCAGTGTCTGCTGCTGTGCACTTACTTGGAGCTGAAACAGGCAAGGACTAATCCATATGATGATAACACTTATCATGACAACATATAGAACAATATTTGGGTCATTGAGCAGGAGTAGAAAAGTAGTTGTGGGGTTAACCAGTCTGTGCGTTGTCAAATGTTGACAGGAATGTGTGAAACAAAACCAAAGACCATAACACTGCTACAAAAAGTGTTAGTTGGGTTTTACGTCACATCATCATTATTCAAGCCATATAGTGACGAGATCAAACATAAATTAATACACATTTTAAGTACAAAGTGCAAATGGGCTTTATGTTAAACACATATGTATTCATTATATTATTATTATAAAAAGGAAAATGTGATAGCACCCAATTCAAAAGCAAGGATTTGTCATTCACATTGCATATTTACAATTTATAGTACAGATCAACTGCAACTTCCCTCAAGGTAGTTCACAATGAGATGCCCACTCACGCGGGAAAACAGATCTTTCTTATTTATCACATCATAATGTGCATCCCTGTGTATTCTAAGGTGTACATCAGACCGTATTACCCTCAGGAGAAGCATACAACTTATTTTTAAAATGTTATAAAAGCCAACAGAGCCATAAGTTTTAGTTTTTCAGCAATAAATATATTCTGAGGTGACCAAATGACCTCACCGACAAAAAGATGAACTTGATTGATGTTCACTACTTTAGTTAATTTATTGATGGGGGTGCCCTCCTTTTTAGTAAGTCAAGATAAACCCCGCTTTCTCATATGGGTCATTTTCAAAATTGGTAGGATTTTCTGTCCGTTCCTAATAAAAAAAATCTGAGTTTAAAAGGATTTTTTTGTTCAAGAAAACATATTTAGATGTTAACTAGTCAGTAAATGTGGTCAGGGTTCAAAATACCCTATATGTTACCGTGCCATGGCACAGTAAATATTGAAATGGCACGGATAAAAAAAGGTCTTGGTGCCCTTAAGGCACGCCTAAAGTTTTAGAGACATAACTCACCTCTAGTCATTTAATCCGCAAAACATTTACGCAAATGACAAACAGAGTGATGGGAGTACTGATTGTTCAGTTATTGAAGAGATAATTGTGTATGTCAGATATATTGAACAAGTGAACCTGTCCAAAAATTCTTAGCTATTAAAGGTGTTGGGAAAGTAGAACAAATGAAGTTTAAGAAAGCCGTCTTAAGCAGAAGACTTATCAGTTATAACAGAAAACAGGTTCAAATGATCATCATCATTGCTACAGTCATTTATTCTGAAAAACATGTGCCACAGTGGGCACACTTGATTTCGGAAAGGCACATTTAAAGTCTTTGCCTGGTGCCCTTAGGCACACTCAGAAAAAAAGGATTTCTATCCCTGGTGGTATATCATTAGTCTTCTCATTTTGAAATTTCTAGTTAACCACATTTTGGGGTCAAAATTGACAGATTTGGTGACGGTCCTAATATCAATGTTCACAAATAATGTAAACATAAATGCCAATAAACAAATTAATTCATATTATGCCATTTAGGATTGATCAAGCAAACTCAGACTGCATTTAATTTTTTTTAACTTAAAAAAGTTTCTTTCTACAAATTGTCACATGCTTGTCCTGTGATTTTGTGTCCTGACCGTTACCAGTGTATGAAATTCCTGCAATAATATCTCCCTGGAGCTGGATTGTAATACTACTTCCTGTGTCTGCTTGAGCTAGCCCCTGTGGATGTGACAGCAGATGAAATAAAGAGATTCAATACATTTTGAAGAAAACTGTCACCGTCAAATAAGTATAAATGTTATGTGTCAACCTTAACTGTCCAGACTGTTACCAGTGTATTTTGTGTCAAATATGTATATCTTTTTAAAAAAAATTCAATGGATATGGTGCCCAGAAATGGAAGAGGTGGAAGGCATGTCCTTTGAAATCTTTTAGGGACCATTCATTTTTTTATTTAAGATTTACTTACAAATTGTCTTGACCCTTACTGTCCAAACCGTTACCATTCTGCAAAGAAACGGTTTGGACAGTCCTTGTAACGGTCAGGACAAAATGATTTGCATTTCAAAGATTATTCATTAATATTTGAAATATAACAAATTTATAATTTCTTTAAGAGTTAAGATAGTTTAAGCATGGACTTGTACTGTTCAAAGGAGTTTTGATGTAGTAGCATAAAAAACACAGTCTATAGTAACGGTTTGGACAAATAATAGTAACGGTTGGGACATTTCTTTAATAAATTTCAATTTTGAAGAATATGTTCTATGGTGTGATAATAAATTTCTATTTACTTATGTCTGCTTTTGATAATAAAAACCAAAACGAATTTATCACGTTAAGTTTCTATTTTCTATAAGATGTATAATCTTTATGAATTAAAGGTAACGGTTAGGACAAAATGTAGTAACGGTAAACAACTTAATTGTATTCCAACCTTTAAAGATGTTTTTGGTAGTCTGTTTTGACTTTGTGAGATATGTATGACTACCATTTACTTAGAATATTGATAGGTGCTAATATATTGGCCTTTGTATTTGATAAATATGTGTTACCATCTCACTATCAACAAAAGCTAAAGGTATCCAAGTGAATGAAAGAAGTATATTTCGTGGAGACTAATATTGCACCATAATAACAACAGCAAAATGATATCTATGCAGTGACCTGTGTAGCATGATCATGCGTACAGTATCATAGTTGTTGCAGTACCTTTCAGAATTTAATCTTTTGCAACATTTTAGAGGGATAACATTTGTTTGTTACACTGATGTCCTGACCGTTACCAATAATGTCACAACCGTTACTATTCATTCAAGTTTCATTCCCCAATTGCACTCTTCTTTAGATTATAAGTGATTTTCAATCTAGACACGTGTGTTTTTCTATTCTTTAGAAGCTACAGTTTGTTTTTATTCAAAAGCCTAAATTCATTAACAGGTTTTATATTGATATAACAAATGTCCAAACCGTTACCACAGCATGGAAGAAAACATTACATATTAGTTACGAGTTACAATTTCTATTACACATTTCACTGTCTGTCTAAAATAGGGTTAGCAGTTCAAGTAAATGATATCATTTTTTTCCTTTCATGTTACCTGTTTCTATGTTGAATTAAATTGTTTAAGGCTTATGTCCAGCCCGTTACCATTCCTGTCCAAACCGTTACCACTATTGTCCTAACCGTTACTGGTGTTAATTGACTGCTCTAATTAATTCATGATAATACATGAAACACTCCTCCTTATGCTGGTGTCATCAAAAGATGTCCTGGGCTTAGTAGCAGATGTATATTTTAGACAATTTTACCTGTTGAAAGCTATATACATAATAATGTTTTAGAAAAATGCTATCATTTTGTGGTAAATAAATGAAAGATACAAAATAACACTTTCAAGATTCATAATCGTTTTTACCTTCAAGTTTGATTTAGTCGGTGTAAAAGCTGTGTCTGCCATCTTTAAAAGATTTTTATGAATTATATTTCAAAATCCATATTCTGACTAAGAAGTAACGGTCAGGACAGTCCCCCACCCTTTAATTACTTATGTATCAATTAAAAGGTCAATTAGTACATTTCAGTCTGCATGATTGTATTTTTGAATAATTAAGTGTGTGAGGTTTTATTTGAATAAAAATTAAATCAATTTTGAGGAGTTTGATTTTACTGTAATAAAGAATTGAAAATCCTACCAATTTTGAAAATGACCCATATAATAATATGAATTTCAAAGATAATTCGCTTCCTCAATGTGTTGACTTTAAAGGTAAAAGGACTTTGTAATCACATGCGTACTTGGTAAAGAAGATACTTTGAGGCCTGATAATTTACTTAGGCCTAATACTGGTCACCTACACTACATTAACCATACATTTTTGTTGATATATTACTTTCACTATTTGATCTAGAGTTGGATCTGAATTGTGATTGTTTTTTTCGTTTAACGTCACATTCATTAATATCAGCAGTCTATAAATAACCTAGTCTGGACTAACTAGTGATCAAGAGCATGAGCATAGATATACACATATGGGATACAATGACATGTATTCTAAGTCAGCGAGCCTGACCATCAAATACCGAAACTATGAAACACTGACACCGGCATGGAACAGTTCTCTATGCAGCGGTCATAGTGGTGCGCCAATCCAACATAAACCAATGATTGGCGACCTAATTTATGTACTGCCTAAAAGTAAATATATTTGGCGATAATATATGTTTAAGATATGAAAGCTCTGCAAGTTTTACAAATTCTACATTTTCTGCAAAGTTTTCCGTGATCAGAACCACAGAATTTGTATAGAACTGCTTGTTATTAAAGTAAATACAAATATTATTCAAACATATGTCATGAAAGAATGAATAAAGTTGCTGTTTCTGTGGCAGCTGCTGCAGCTTGCTCGTAATGCGAGGGATCCTGGCCCCAGATATCACCCTCCGCCGGAAGCAAATTGCTGTAAAACAGCGTATCCACCCGCCTCGACTTAATAGTCTTAGGGGTCAAAATAGCACACGCTGCACAGCCCTTCTCACGATCGGCCTCCGTCAGGCAGCGCAAGCACACCTTGTGAGTGTCCCTCACGGGTATAGAGGCGAGGCACGAAGTATAGGATTTAAACTGCAACAAGTGATAAAAACCGTGCAGTAACCTACCCGTACATACATATGATAAAAAACACGCATGGGCGACCACAACTAACGCGATAATGTAAGAATTAAGTTGAAAATAACAAATAATACACACTGCAACATGACTAACAATTACGACTGACAGAGTAAATATAGAAAATGCTAGCAGCGGAAACAACGCTCCACATGTAATAACATACAAATAAAACACTATAAACACACTAAACGTTGCAAACCACCTCTAAGGAAAGACAATGAAAAATGAGGATATCGAAGATACCTGTCCGCCATCTTGACACACACCTGGCGAGCCGACAGCGACAGATACCAAGTTACAACAAAAAGATGAATGAAAATATTCAGAACAGATCTCCAAATCACACATGCAGGGAAAAAAGAGAACCATACATACAGTAGCTGTTTCTGAAACACTCATTGTCACTTAGGGAAATTCAACGTTCGTCGAAGTGGACCCACATCTAGCCAGTGAAACGACAGCATGGAAAGCGAGGTACGAGCTTATAGTCTAGGGTTACCTGCTCTTGGCTGTAGGGGGCCCTGTAGGGGTGGTCTCAAAGGACAAAAATGTTTTTTGTTTTGTAAATATCTTATTCAAATATTGTTACAACTGTCGTAGGGATTTTAAATGGACATTTAAATGCTTATAAGTACCCCAAGGCGGAATATATGAAAAAGAATCAAGCAGTTTGTCAGTTGCTGCAGAAGAAATTCCAGTAGTGATTCATAAAAATAAATATTTACCCACTAAAGTCTATCACGTTTAATACGTGTGCATGAGTTTATACATACAATATCAATACGCCTTAGGACTTCCACAACAGCAGAATGCCAGTGTTGTACCTAACAAAATTTTACTCTGTAGAAAAATTCAGAGTTACAGATAACTTTTGGGGTATTAAATTGAGTTATGTACTAGCTTGTGTTCATCTAAATTGGGTATCCTAATTTTCCTTTCAGTAAACAAATAAGTTGTGCCCACATCACTGAAACTCAATAGGGAAGTTTTGCAATTTTCGAATAATTATAAAAATATAATAAAGTTTAAACATTGGTTTTTGTGTGTTATCTATATTTGATCTGTAATATGACAAACAATAAGACTACAAATTGCGAAGTTCATGTGTTGAATGAAATAGAACCTCTCAATATTCCTCAGTAATTTTATCTATCCACGGGTATGAAGCTAAGATTGGACGTTTTTGTGTATACGCATGTATAATCAAATTTATTGAGCATTTACCAAAATTCAAACATGCTTGTACGCAATAGACTTAATATGAATTGAGTTTTCACTCAAAAGGGAAAAGATACACTGTCCAATCACCAGCGTGAACACTACGGTGAAGGTGAAGGCTATACTGGTTACCTCTGTGTAAGTATAATAGTAACACATACAGGTGGCATCACTCATTATACAACATACGCTGTCTGTTTCAATACAGGATAAATTACACACACACACCAAAAAAATACAAAAAACAACCACACACACGCACACCAATGCTTAATATAAAAACGGACAAAGTACCCCCAACTTATCTATATCTTTAGATTAAAGGTTCAGCTGATCTTTGATCAACACTTAATCAACACTGGTAGACGAGCAGAGAAGATTCACTGCACAAAGTTCAAAGGGACATGTTCAAAGCAGGAACAAAAACAGTTATATTTGATATAAACAATGTAAAAGAAATATATTATGGTCAAGTGAGCAGATGCATATTTCCTTTTAATGAACATTTAGGAAATGTGTAGCTGAGCACATTATTTATACAAACCCAATCAAAAGGGGCACTGATTCAGAACGATCACACCAACAATCTAATTGTGTCACCTAGCTGCCAGGTGCTGCCTCGACCGTGATGGACACGAGGACTGGGCAACTTTCCACGTTGGTACTATTCAGTGAATGTAAACAACGGGACAATAAGAATGCGGCTTCCCATCAGATGCCGTTATCTGATAAAATCCCCTACGGTTCTTGTAAGATTCTAATAAAGTATACCAGCCGTGTAAGGCCTAAAAACTATAATGTTGTGGTTCCGATTACCCGACCCAACCCTTGAATTCTGGTGCCGACCCTGTTTATTTAAGCAGTATGAATAAAATAGCCATTCAGATACCATTGTTTTTTTGACCTGGCACCGATGGACACCGGTCATTCTGATAGAGAAAGTCAATATGATGGCCGCAAGCTTGATTAAATAAACAATTAGACATTGATAAGTGTGTTATTAGTTTGTACTTTACTTCTAAAAAAAAGTAAAAAAACCCCATCCTACCTACCTACCCTAAATTAGAGCTGTAATCTGAACCATGACATTTTTTTTATTTGGCCTGAGCCTTTTCGAATGTTCTGATATGTGGATGGTATGCTGAGTGATGCAATTTTATCCTATTTCTGTTTCTTACCGCAATAATTAAGCATGTCATGTAACAATGTCATGTCTATTGACTTATGATATTAAAAACACACATTTTATTTATTTGAATCCGTAAACTAAATAAACTCCACTTTGCCATTGCCAGAAACATATTAAAATTTACTTAGACAAATAGGTATATACCATTTTTAAGTTTAGTAGACAGCAAATGCTAAGATGTATTTCTCATGCAACAATGACATTTGTAGACCCTTCCTTCAAAATATTAACTGCCATACATTGATTGATCATTGATGTCTAACCAAATTATATTTAAAGAATGGTGGGCATTATGCAACTAGTTGTCAGGACAAATGACACTATACACCAATGTGAAAAGCCTGAAACAGTCACATGACCAGTTGAGAACCTTCCATTAGTTATAACGTTGAATACATTTCTTGCATATTAGACTATCAGAAGACATATGACTTGGAACAGATTTCCTTATCAGCTGTAGCTGAATGACATATCGTTATTAATTTTAATATTTGTATTAAGTTTTTATTCACTTGTTGTAACATTCAGCTTAATCATTCCACTTCATTTTTAAGCCGTGAAGTTTGAAGAGAAGACAACATATATACTAGGTTGCACTTCGGGCATGTGTATGTGTGTAATATGATTCACATAGGCAATCTATACAATATGTGTAGATATTTCAGTCACGTTATAAAATACACTATAAACAGATAGTGTACTTATAAAGACGTTCCAAAATGCATAAAAGTATAATAATAAGTTAATTAGGATTATTAGATATAAAAATAAAGACTTACAAATACTTACATTGACTTTTTTTCCAGTTTTAACTTAACATTCTTTGCCACTTCAAACTGTTTTCATTTGTTACAATTATGATGAAGTAAATCCATTTCACCAGGTGACATTTGTTTATAAACCCGGATTTACCCAAGCTAGGTAGCGCTGCTCTATTATGAAATATGTGCGTTCATGAGTGACGTAGCAGAGGTCACGAACCTGTCAAGATTTCTGGGATATTTCCCGGGTACTGACGGGTGAAAACAATAACAAAAGCAATAACCAGTACACAGAAATTGCTCTGGATAAGTGCCCCTTTAACCTCATGGTAAAAAGGGGGGTGACAAACTCTGATGTTCTACATGGTCAAGATATGCAGTACTGGTAATAAAAGAGGTGTATAACTTGTTATGCAAGCTCTACATTTGGCCTTGGGTAATTACGGGTGTCAACAAATACGACCCTAACATTTTTTGCATTTTGGTTAGTTCCTGAAATAAGACAAAAATATACCGGATCCAAGTGTCAGTCTAGATACCCTGGATATCAGGCGTCAGAATGAGAACCGTTTTGGGGGTGTTCTTGCCGTACCGAACCGACTAGCCGAGAGCCGCGATGCGGCTACGAACCGACCACAAGTGGTTCATAAATGACTTCGTTCCTTATTTGCTGACTAGATATATGTCTATGTACAAGAGAATAAACATCGGCCTACCAAGTTCATTTCACCCAGTGAGTAACCTGTAACGGATGTGAATCAAGAAGCATCATTCAAGATGAGGCCTAAGTTGTTCGAATGACAAGAGCAAACAATTTGGTAAGCTTGCGAAATCTTGAAATAAATTGTGTGATGAGGGCAAAGTATGAGACAAGCATGGCATTTGATACAATTTCAAACAATAGACTCTAATTACGATACAAACCATGCGTTTTCCGTAGCTTAATGCTGCCATGATGCTTCTCGGGCAGTGCGCGAAACGTTAATTTCAAACGGGTTTCGAAGGACAGAAAACGTGAATGGGCGTTGACGTGAAATATGAATTCAATTTATTTACATAATATTACAGTGTTATTTTGATTGAGGTATGCGATCGATGTATTGAAGATGTAAAGGTGCTCTTTATGGCGCATTGCCTGTAAGCTTCCTCAATATCTAAAGACTTTATTGAATTATTAGCTAAGTGCTCATTTCGACGTTGCCGCTTTTTAACTTTCACCTTTTGACGCACAGAGCGTGCCGGCAAATCGCCGAAAGGTACTGCGAGCGAAACAGTGATGTTATGGCGAACACTTAACGATGTGTATATTTGAAAAAAACTGTACAAAACCTAAAAGCATATATCTAGACAATAATTTCTCCATCGTTTATTACTGAACATATATCCACGTGTTAGAGAATTTTATAGAAAACCCCGTGTCGCCGAAAGGTCGCAGACGTTATATACATGATATTTTTGTTTTTTCAATAACAGTACTGAATTTTTATAAAAGTACAAACGAAGCACACCCGAAGGTCCTGAGACGACCCTCTATCCAACCATCCACTTTGGGATAGTTATTAAAGAAAATGAACATAGTTGTGACATGCAGATATTTAGGCGACAGAAATATATCCTTAGGGACGTGTACACGAAAGAATTACATTTATTTTTATGTAAAACAAAATTGATTTTTTTAATTAGTTGTCGCAGGTTCAGGCCTTAGTCTTGCCAAGCAGACAATATATATGACATTATATATGACAATATATATGTTTATTGCCTGTGAATTATGAATGGTACACCATTTGTAAGATGTTGTGTCTGCCATACAGGTGTGATGGCTGCTGGATGACAACTGAGGCATATTGATTATAAAGCTGAGAATAATTATGATTGTTTACATATAGGTGATGCATCATGTCAATTCCTAAAAATATACACAGTTGGTGTTGGTGATGAAAGGTTTATCAAATGAATTATAATTATACTTTTGCACACTATCATACGTACTCGTGCTTAAGTTAGTAAGTGATAAGGGTCAGATATGTTTACTTGATGCGTGATCGGTGATATGTTTTACTAACTTTACCAGCTTAATTGATAATAATTACATTAGGAAGATGTTGTGTCAGCCATACATGTGTGATGGGTGACGGAGGTGAGGTGAAAGTTGGTTTAACGTCGTGTTTGAGAATATTTCGCTCATATGACGACGTGCATGTGTGTGTATGTGTATGTGCGGCTGCTTTTACCAGCCCAGACTGAAGCTGGTTTTATAGTGCTAGCCCACTGAGATACCATGCCGCAGTGAAGTATGAATACCCCACTCAGACACATTATACTGACTCCGAGTCGACCAGTCCTTGTTGTACCCATTAATGCAGAGCGCCAGGCAAGGACCAACAAGTACCATATTTTAACGTTTTTTGGTATGACGCGGTCGGGGATCGAACCCGCGACCTTCCGCTCTCCGGGCGGGCGCTCTAACCACTACACCACGGAGGCGGTCCCGATGGCTGACGGATGATAAAGGAATGTCCCACGTCACAGGTGTAGAAGCCAGTGATTTTAGTGGTCAGCCAAATACGGGTAACACGTACAACTCCCTATTAGAAGTGGAGAAGCAGCCTTCTGGTGGAAAGATAAATGGCTGTCGGCGACATAGTTTGAAAATATACTGACCCTTGAAGGTCCGGGTTAGAATATTGATCTTCAGTAACCCATGCTTGTCGTAAGAGGCGACTAACGGGGTCGGGTGGTCAGGCTCGCTGACTTGGTTGACACGTGTCATCGGTTCCCAATTGCGCACATCGATGCTCATGCTGTTGATCACTGGATTGTCTGGTCCCGACTCGATTATTTACAAATCGCCGCCATATAGCTGGAATATTGCCGAGTGTGGCGTAAAACTAAACTCACTCACTCACTGAAAATATACTCTCATTCTTATTACAGTGAAAGTATAACCCTCAATATAACTTCTGATACATGAAGTGCATGGTGGGCGAGCTGTCTAAGGCGCCAGGCTAGTGATCCAGCGAGCTTGAGGTGCCGGGATCGAGCCTATCTGTGACCGGGTGTAAAAACTTTGGAGTCTAACTTTGCGTGCACAGTCTCTCAGTGTTGTCACAACCCCTAGTGTACAGTACACGACCCAGTACAAGAACCCACGCATCCGTTGGTATATGGCCAGATGGTGGCCACATCAATAAGTGCAAACATCTAGTTGCAAGTTTACAGCAGTAAACTTGGACAAAGTACTGCGATTATGTGTCCCAGTCCACCCAGCTGTGAATGGGTACCACGTAAGGATGGGAAAGCGAAATTAACTCGGTGCGCCTAGTGACTAAAAGAGTTGTATGATCCCCAGGGAGTTGAGATTGACATCTAATGATCGAGGGAAAAACAAAGCACCTTTGAGCAGGTGATCTGGATATTGTCGCTATACAAATAAACATAAATATAAAATATTAAATATTATGCCATTATGAGGTCTTTATTTGCCGAGCTCAACAGAACAGAGCTCCTGTCTTATCCCTAAGCAAAAGATATAAATACTGACACTAATCACGTCAAAAAAGTAAGCAAAAATACGAAAGAAGCATTAGACCTGAAAATGTAAGTGTTACAGCTGGTTAAATCGCCAAGTAACATCAGGAATCACATGACTCGCTGTAGGGGTGAGGTGCGGTTTACTCAGGTAATTCCTTAGTCATACATCAAGCCCTGAAAAATACATAATAGTCTTAGACATGGTTGAACAATACATACACTGTTTCAAAGGTATCACAATTAGTTTATCACAATTCATTCTGTAGTCTAACAATTACACATGTAAATCATACAACATTATAAATTGTCAAGGGAAATAATAATCACATGAAAGTATATGGACAATTTGGTTGTGCCACCAAGGGGACATAATTCAATGCCAAATAACACATTTTGCCCAAATAATCTTAAACAACATGTACACATATATCTGATAGACAAAAAGTTCACAAACATACAACTAGATAAATATACTCTCCCAAAAAAGAAACGCATCATGAAAATTGCAATTTCATGTAGCAATGAATTAAAACGTGATTCATTTAAATACAAAAGGTTTTGCTCTGTTTATGAGTCCAATGGTGTTTATGTTTTGAAACATCACAACAAACGCACCATCCGTAAAATACCCGTATTTAACAACATGATTTTCAATTTCGGCGGGTAGTGTCACACAATACACTATCCACATGCAATGCACGTGAAAGTTGGGGATCAAATAGTCTCAGTGATGGGTATAAAAGGTTGATTGCTGTCTGTCGATTATTCACTGTATTTGGAATATTGTTGACGAACGCAAAATACCAAGCCTAAGTGAAGCCAACCGTCATATCGCCATTGGTTTTTCCTTGAAGCTGGCCAGACTCAATGTGCAGTTCACCAAATCACTATTTCACGGCTATGGGAGAGATATCGCCGGCGGAATTCGGTAGCAGATGCCCCTCGTAGTGGGCGACCTCATCACTGCATCCGGGCGTCATCGAACAGCTACGGCGACCAGTACCGCTCGACAAATACCCGGATTGAGAAGGCTTTCTGCGCAGACCGTCAGGAACAGGTTGAGAGAGGCTGGTTTACGTGCCAGAAGACCTTATTTTGGCCCTGTGCTTCGACAACAACATCGTCGACACCGAGTTCAATGGTGCACCAACGTTCAGGCCTGGAACCTACCGAATTGGTGTAGAATCTGGTTCAGTGATGAATCAAGATTTCAACTGGAACGACGCGATGGAAGAATGCGGGTATACAGACGTCGACGTGAACGTTTCGCCGACGCTTGCGTTCCCAAGGTGGACAGATTCGGCTGGGACAGTGTTATGATGTGGGGAGCGATCACCTGCCGTAGGAGAAGTGATTTGGTGATGATCCAGGGCAACCTGACAGCTCAACGGTACTGTGACGAAATCCGACGCCCACACCTCCTTCCAATCATTGATCGCCAGAGGGAGTTGTTTCAACAGGACAATGCCAGGCCCCACACAGCACGTCACACTAGAGACTTCCTCCAGAACCACAACATCAATGTGCTCCCCTGGCCCTCAAGAGCACCGAATTTAAACCCGATGGAACATCTGTGGGATGCCCTGGACAGACGGGAGCGACGCCGTAACCCTTAGCCCCAGACACTTCAGCAACTCGCACAGGCACTACAGGCAGAGTGGGCTGCGATTGGGCAACACGAGATTCTGAGACTTATTCGTTCGATGCGGAGGTGATGCCGTGCCGTTCTGGATGCCCACGGTGGTCACACGAGGTATTGACTTCAGCGCCAGCACACTGTCCATGTGACACTCAAACTGACTTTCCTCGAGTTGGTGCCAAAGACGGATAAGTCTGCATTCCCAGTGTGCAATTTCGCTATATTTCATTGACTCATAAAGCCTATGAGATGTTTCAAAATAAAGATAAAAATACAGTTGAAATTCATATATGCGTTTCTTTTTTGGGAGAGTATATGTTGTAACTGTCAAAGGTTACATCAAACGTATACGTAAAAAAGGGAAATACAGAGACATATGAAAATAAACCTTACCCATTTGTGGAATAGAGCTTTACAACCTACACCATGTTGTGGTGCTGAACGAACATACGTACAGTTGTCATTGTAACCTGCAAATCACAAATAACATATAAACATGAGACAATACCTTTACCATCTCTCACGATTTTCACTCACATCTCTCAAAGAAACCTGTTGCACAAATACACATAGAAGGCTGACAAAACAGACCATTCGTCAATGTGACGATGCATTTCTTCTGCTCACCACTCGCACAACACAGAAAACCATTGGAAATAAATGCAATTAGGACAGTGAGGAAAATGGTTGAAAAACAGAACATTACTTACAATGTTGTTTGGTTGTACACGAGTTACAATACAATATAACATGAACTTTGGCTTAAATGTAATTAACCAAGTTTAGTAAGTTTACAACATAACCATGACATTTAGAAT